AACGGGTTTCAGCATTTCAGTTGCCAAATTTTATGACAAAAAAACATGAAAACTGGTCATTTTATCATGATAATATACATGAAAAAAATTTCGAAGAAATTATAATAAACATAATTTTTACAATTATATCTGACTGATGAATTAGCCGGCAGTACAATCGGAAATATATTAAGAATAAATCTATTTACAATATGCATTGCCCAGCGTGGATCAGCGTAGCCCTTTATTAAGCAGCACAGTCTGTTTAGTATTTTCATATCTATTCCTTTATGATTGAGGATCATTGGAATATATACGTCAATTGATAGTACATATTGACGATCCTACATTTAAAAGAAACATTCACCGTCCCCTGGCTACACAAACACATACACACACAGTCGATGCCTCATGCAGAAATTCTGTTCTGTTCATACTATCGAAATAAATTCAAGAAATTCATTTTTCCTTATATCCTGTACTATAAAATCCCTACCTGCTTAGGAATTTGAATAACTATGGTCATTACACGTAGATTTGAGAGTACTCGAAGTTACTGAAAGCTAGTTGATTGATTGATTGATTGCTAATCGTCCAGTTGCAAATAGTCCATGCATGTTCAGGACAAAAACAAATTTACAATAAATACAACAGGTAGCTAGGTCCTGTAATAGGGATGGTCCAGGACGAAGGTCTGGAAAATTGGAAACGCCATGCATTGGAAAATGAGGGTTTATTGGATAGGAACAGAAATTTTGCCTTTCAGTAGACCACCTACGAATCCCTCAAAGAGTTGTTGCAAGTTTCTTAACGTGCAGAGAGCGTGGCATTCTCTCTACACTAGGTATCGGATTTAACGTCCCCATTCTGACCAGACGTGACTGCGTATTTATACATCATGCACAGCCAAATGAACGCTCAACTTTGGCAAGGGTTTTATTATAGGTCGGATGAAGACCAAGTGGAAAGCTAGTTGAAAGCCAACAACAACTAATTAAAAAAAAATCATGTGTCTAAGTTGAGGTTCATTCAAGTATTTGTTGATAGAAGTGAAATGATCTGAACCAAAGTTCTAGTTTATAGTTTTTATATAAGGGGGAATATAATGACATACAATTCTATCCAATACTCCATTCACTAAGGATGATAGACTAGTGTACACATGACATTCGATAAGTAAAGAGTTTTGACGACTTTACTAGCGTGCATCTACAGATAACGTTGTTTATTATTTTTTTTTATAAAAAAAAAAAATTGTGAAAAAATTATGTGTAGGCACGTGCCTAAAGTGCCTAACGGCAGCTACGCCCCTGGGTCACAAGACTGTGGGTAGAGAAAGTTGGACATATCAATTAACTCCCTTTAAGCAGCAACTGTGAAGGAATACAATCCCTTGCAGGAGCTGCCGATACGTTGCTACATAGAAATGGAAAGTTCACCATGGTTAAATTGAAATCACCATTTTTGTCATGGTTAAGTTTTCGATGAACATCATATTACTACACTCTCTCTATTTCAGCCACTCTAAATAGTTTAACGAAATTTTTATGCCGTCCACCAAAATTGTTAAGCCTTCATCATCAATTACTGCATATTTGTCTAACACGTCTCCTGATCTTCCCCAGGTTTGTCAAAATGTTATTATTTGTTGTTGTATTATGTGGTTATAGTTTGGTAATTTATGCCAGTATTTGTCTGGTAAAATATATAATTAGATAATCGTACAATTCATTCTTCAAATCACAGATGTAGCAATATTATAAACACCAATCAAATAGTGTTGATCAAATGTGCTAAGGGAAGTTTTAAACTTACAGTAAGTTGTGATAGTTTGCTCTGAGTTTAAAACCCCACTGCAACTTTGAGAAACATGAATAGCAATGAAAGTGCTGTACCTTTGCTTTTGGTTTCTGTCAAGTACTTGAAGTGATTTTGTTTCATGAATCAATACACTGTATCCTTTCTTTTCCATACTATAAAGTTTGGTCTGAGAAAAGGCGCTGATGTACATATAAAGCCAATGGTGGATGTAAAGAAATGTCAACAGCAAAAATAGGACTGGGTGTTCTTTGTATGCACATTAATTTCACAGTAGAAAGAAAAAGGTGGAAACATAAATAATAAAATGCTCCGCTGGGCGCAGCTTGGTACGACCGCAAAGGTCGAACCCTGAACAGTTGGGGCAAGTATGGACACAACATTCAAGCTTGATACAGCTCTGAAATTGGATTGTGATTAAATATTTGACACAGCATAGGTTTCTGACACAGAATGAATGTGGGCTAAGAACTTAAAATTTTTTAATTTACCTATTATGGTCCAATATCCAAAATCTAAATACATGGTTAGATTCAGCATATCAAAGAATCCAAAGAATTCAATTTTTGATGAAATCAAACAAAGTTTAATTTTGGACCCTTTTGACCACAATATGGACCAATTTAATAACGAGGCCCAAAAATCAAAAATCTAAATACATGGTTAGAATTAATACACGGTTAGATTCAGCATATCAAAGAACCCCAATATTTCAATTTTTGATGAAATCAAACCATATCATTATTATTTGCTTTTATATATAAATCAGAAATAACCAACTTAAAATGGAAAATTTGAAAGAAAAAAAAAGGAAAAAAATGGAAACCCCCCCCCCCCCCCCAATTTTTTTGAACACCCTTAAGATTCATCACCCCCAAACTCAATCCCAGCCTTCCCTTTGTGGTATGGTACCTTGCAGTACAATTTCAGAGAGATCCATACACTTGAACACAAGTTATTGTCTGGAAACTAGAAAAATGCTTATTTTTGGCCCCTTTTTGGCCCCTTATTCCTAAACATATTGGGCAATTACCCCCAAACTCAATTCCAGCTTTCCCTTTGTGATATGGAACCTTGTAGTACAATTTCAAAAAGATCCATACACTTACACACAAGTTATAGTCATGAAACTAGAAAACTGCTTGTTTTTGCCCCTTTTTGGCCCCTAATTCCTAAAATTTGGAGGCAATTACCCCCAAAATCAATCCCAACATTCCCTTTCTGATATGGAACCTTGTGGTACAATGTCAGAGAGATCCATACACTTACACACAAGTTATTGTCATGAAACTAGAAAAATGCTTGTTTTTTGCCCCTTTTTGGTCCCTAATTCCTAAAATTTTGAGGCAATTACCCCCAAAATCAATCCCAGCATTCCCTTTGTGATATGGAACCTTGTGGCACAATGTCAGAGAGATCCATACACTAACACACAAGTTATGTCTGGAAGTTACAAAAATGCTTATTTTTGGCCCCTAATTCCTTAACAGTTGGTACCATAACCCCCAAAATCAATCCCCACCTTCCTTTTGTGGTATTGAACCTTATGGTAAAATTTCATAAAGATCCATTCACTTAAACTAAAGTTAGAGTGCGAAAACCAATGTGTCTTCGGACGACAACGACGACGACGTCATACCAATATACAACCGCAAAATTTTTTTGCGGTCGTATAAAAATGCTTGTTTTTTTGCCCCTTTTTTGGCCCTTAATTCCTAAAATTTTGAAGCAATTACCTCCAAAATCAATCCTAGCATTCCCTTTGTGAGATGGAACCTTGTGGTACAATGTCAGAGAGATCCATACACTAACACACAAGTTATTGTCTGGAAGTTACAAAAATGCTTATTTTTAGCCCCTTTTTGGCCCCTAATTCCTTAACTGTTGGTACCATAACCCCCAAAATCAATCCCAATCTTCCTTTTGTGGTATTGAACCTTATGGTAAAATTTCATAGAGATCTATTCATTTTAACTAAAGTTATTGTGCGAAAACCAATGTGTCTTCGGACGACAATGAAGACGCCAACGCCATACCAATATACGACCGCAAAAATAATTGATCATTCTAGTATGAAAGTTCTGGCTAAAGATGGCGAATTTGAAAGTCTGTATTGTTGACAACATGCTGAACTATTTATACCTCCGCTTTAAAAAAAAAGTGGGGGTATACTTTTTTACCTCTGTCTGTCCATCCGTCAGTCCCATGAATATTTTTCGTCACATCTTTCTCAGGAACTACATAACAAAGATTTCTGAAATTTGGTTTCAGTTTATATGAGTCAGCTATACTGTGTGATGCGTTTTCAGATTCATCACTCAACAACTTCCTGTTTACAGAACACGTATCATTTTACACATGACATCCAAGTTGAAAATTTTCGTCACATTTTTCTCAGGAATTACATTACAAGGATTTCTGAAATTTGGTTTCAGGGTTTATATGAGTCAGCTATACCGTGTGATGCGTTTTCAGATTCATCACTCAACAACTTCCTGTTTACCGAACACTTACACATTTTTACACATGACATCCAAGTTGAAAATTTTCGTCACATTTTTCTCAGGAACTACATTACAATGATTTCTGAAATTTGGTTTCAGGGTTTATATGAGTCAACTATACCGTGTGATGCGTTTTCAGATTCATCACTCAACAACTTCCTGTATACGGAACACTTACATATTTTTACACTATTAAAATTATCCAGTTGCGTCAGGGGTATCATCAGCTCGCAGTAGCTCGCAGTTTCACTTGTTTTTTTTTTATTTTATAAGCTGTTTATTACCTAATTACCTCCTTTCTTCTTAGACAATGTTATTGGATAATAAAGGGGTAAGAATTATCATCTATATATTTGACATTACTGTAAACTGCACCAAAGTAGATCAGGAAAGCCAGTACACAGAACATCATATAAGCTAGATAGCTGGAATTTTATAAAAGAACGGAAGGATGATAATGATATTTAATCTCATCTCCTATATATTTTTGTTTTCTAAACAAAAAATAAAAAAAAAATTTAACCATTGATATGGTGAAGTTATAATATATGCTCTTCAATGAAAGTATTTCTTTTTATAAAAAAAATCAGGGGATACATGTACTAACTTGTCAACTTTAAAATTGAGTCACAGCTCAAAAAGAGCTTGCTTTTAAATAATTTCCACTATTATTAATTACATAAAAGACACAAGAAGATCAATTTCTTTCTTTTTACTATAAAATGAATATGAAATGACGGATACTGAAAATCATACATCAAATTATCAAAAGTAAACAGATTTAAATGATGATCATACTAACTGTCTAACAAACAAAACAGTTCCATTAATTTAAAATCAAACATTTTTTTTAGAAGTAACCACATTTTATGATTATGATTATTCATGATTCCTATTAAACATTTCTGTTTCTATATATAAACTTGATCGGGTTCTCTTTACAAATTGAGCTCCTCTTAAGATTATACACTGCTTTCAAGTATAACTTTCTGCTAACAATATGATCACTTAGGGATCTACAATTAATGTGAAGTAATGTAACTCAATTGTTCTGTTTATTTCCAAAGCAAAAATCCATAATACAACACAAGTTGGTGTGGAAACACCCTGATGATATGAAAACAATAAAAAATAAACCATGAGGATGTTTCTCTTTTAAAAGGCATCACATGGTTTGCCTTCCAACAGTTGTTTTTCTATGAGATTTTTTATTGTGCTTTGCTTGAAAATATATGTTTTAATATATAAATATTCTTAATAGAAGTCTTTAAAAGAAAGTTTCATATTCCTTGACATGACATATTTTGAGTTAAAAAAATAAGCATTCCATGAGGGAAATATTTTACTTTATAATCTTCCTTTCTAACTTTCTCAGTAATAAAATATATGATAAATACAGTGTGTACTGGTTTTTTTAGAACATACCAAATAAGACACACAAAATTATAATTTTTACCATCTAGAGTTTTTCAAGCATTATTGGAAGCTGCTTCTATTTACAGTAAGCATTAATATTATTTTAAATTAAATCAAAGTCATGCTCAAAAAGTGGTAACTACTATTGTAAAATAATGCTCCTTAAAGTATAGAGGAATCTAAAATAATGCTCTTTAAAGTATAGAGGAATCTAGAAATATTTCTGTAAAATCTTGATTTGAAATAAAATATATATATCAAAAAGTAAAGTTTTCTTTTATCTTGCCTTATATATTAAAGTAAATGGGTTTGGCATATACCAGGACAAAGACCAATCTCATATTAATTAAATTAGATGGGTTCTAAAAAGGGGGCGGGCTGATGAGATAGTCAAAAGTTTGAATTGAAATAAATGAAATATTTTATACATTTAAGAACTATGAATTAATGGAATTGTAAGAAAAAAGAAAATAGCAGACATTACTTCAATTATGATTTGATGCATTGTGTACAGACTACAGGTTCCTACATGGTTACCAAGTTTTCTAAAAAAAAGGTGCTATTTGTCCACAGTCTGAACACTTGGAATGACCCAACCTAATTAATTATATACATATGAAAGCAAACCTCATTTACAATGATTACAAAATATATCATTTAAAATTTACAACAAATGATAAATCTGTCAAAGCTACACTGCCTTACTGTGGTTTTAAATCTATTTAAACCACTTTAAAACACAGTATGAAAAAAAATATTGAAATGGTCTTTATGACTTTATTTACAGACATGATGCAATACTTTCACAAGACATTTAAAAGGTGCTTTCTTGTTTTACATTGTCGATAGAAATGTCAATTCTTACATAAAAAGTTCAATAAAATTGAAATACAAATTTGAAATCTTATGAAATAAAAAAGCTAGAGGCTCTCAAGAGCCTGTGTCACTCACCTGATTCTACTTTGGTTTTGGAAATCATGTAAAATAGATTAAAATCATAACAGATACCCTAATAATGAGTGAGGCTAAATTTGGTTTAATATTGGCCATGTAATTTAATAAAACATCCTGGTGGCCATCTTGAACAGTCAATCAGCAACAAAGTAGCAACACTTCATCAGCACCTCATAAGAAACATTTATGCCATGTTTGGTTTAATTCCATTCAGTGCACCTCTAGATGAAGCATTTGTATGTATTTCCCATGGGGTATTATGTTAAAGGAAGTCCCCTCGCTGGCGGCCATCGTGGATGATGGATCAGCTTCAAAGTAACAACACTTAGTCAGCATCTCATAAGGAACATTCATGCCATGTTTGGTTTCAATCCATTTAGTGGTTCTCTAAAAGAACACATTTGTATGTATTGTCCATAGGGTCCTTTGTTAAACATTGTCCCCCCCTGGTGGCCATCTTGGATGATGGATCGGCTTCAAAGTAACAACACTTAGTCAGCACCTCATAAGGAACATTCATGCCATGTTTGGGTTTCATTCCATTCAGTGGTTCTCTTAAAGAAGACATTTGTTTGTATTGTCAATTGGGTCCTATGCTAAACCAAGTCCACCGCTGGCTGCCATCTTGGAATATGGATTGGCTTCAAAGTAACTACACTTGGTCAGCACCTCATAAGGAACATTCATGCCATGTTTGGTTTCATTCCATTCCGTGGTTCTCCAGAAGAAGTTCAAAATGTAAAAAGTTAACGACGACGGACAACGGACGCCAAGTGATGAGAAAAGCTCATTTGGCCCTTCGGGCAAGGTGAGCTAAAAAGTGCAATTAACACAAGTTAGATTATATTTTTTAACAAATGTCAAGTATTGAAACACAAGTATAAAGAAGATGTTGCCAGATTCATAACGTCAATCAAGTCTTTCCAAGAAGCATGCTGAGGTAACATATGAGGTAACATGCTTCCCCTTCCATGAAATTATTTCCATTTCACTTAAACTGTAAGCTAAATCAGTAGAACTGATATCGTTCCATTTTTTTTCAAAGCGATGTATCTTTCCATAAAGATACAATTGCTAAACAATATCCAATAGTCACGAATGGTATTCCTGTACTTAAAATTTCTTTAGTGTTTTCTTTATCAATGCCATTCTCTGAAAGAAAAAAAAATGTCTTATGGTGATATCAAAATCTTAATTCTCTGAAGCATGTTCCTGATTAGCTTATCAAGTTAAAAGGCTACGTAAACAAATAAGGTTTGATGTTGCTTTTTTCAGTTGCTTTCCAAAACTTATTATATAGGAATTAACTTATGTGGTACATTGATGACCAGAAATCCAACAAAATCAAAAATAAATGTAACATTTCTTTTTAATAATTAACACAAGATAATATAAAGTATCATTGATTAAATTTAATTCCCAAAGGCGTCTTGGAAAGTTCCAGTAATTTTAAAATGACATAGTAGTTAGGCCCTTTCTGGTCCTTCTATTTGTATTAAAGATGTTACTAGATTTAAGTAAACTAGGGCTTAGATAATTTAATTTCTGAATACTTAACTACTGATGTTTCTGTAGTAACATTAAAGTCTCAGATTTACAATAATCCATCAATATTTTCCTATCCTACTTTTAACTACATTTATCAAAATTATTAATATAGCTATGACAAAACATGATAAGTTTTATATGTCATGAAGAAATTTCTAATTTTTTTTTAATAATTATTGACAATTGTATTATTTCCTATTAGGAATGTTCCAGAAATTAAATTCTTAGTGCCTTCAAAGTTCTCAACTGAACTTATCTAAAACACCCAATAGTTTATTTATAATGACTACATTCCATAGTTTTGGTAGACAGTTATTATAATCTCCTAGATATAACCTTACACTATGGTATATGACAGTGATTTCATTTATTACCTCAAAAAATGAACTGGAATACATAACTTGTCAATAAAGCATAAAAGACAGGCTAGAGCGGTCAATTCTAATAGAAGACTGTTATACTCCCTTGAATTCCCTATAACATGTTATTGTTATAAGTTTATAGACAACTTACTACATGTAAATAAGAACTGAACAAACTTTCAGTCAATAAGCAAGTAGGTCAAATCATGATGGATGATAAATAATTAGAAAGGCATTGCTACTTAATATCATGTCCATCTTCACAAAACATTTACTACCTCATGGATGTATACCCCACATATTATATTTATACTTTAAACAACTGTGAATCATTCTTTTACAAAGTGTGACTATTTTTAGAACAACCTATCAAAGAATTCAAATATAGAAAAATAATTACGAGTGACCTAACAACACATTAATTCATGAATGCATGTAGCCCATGAGTTTATTATCAGTGTTGTTTGGTCATGAGATTAGTAATTCTTTTATTTACATTAACCATGGTCTTTTTTTAATGGAAATAGAGAATAAAATACAAGAAACTATATTTTTTCTACGCATTCCCATTTCATTTTGATGCAACGTCATCAACAATGTCTTGACAACACACATGGTTGTATGACGTTCGGGGACGGAAATTATCAGATTTATTTCACGTGAAATTATCCATTTTTATTTAACTTGGAAATCACGGTATTTCATTGAAACCAATTTAATAATTTGTTTAATTCCAAATGATATCATGTTTTCTTAGTCATCTGATTATGTGTAATTCTGGACGAACTAACGGACATGTTTTACCAAGTTCGCCTACCTGCTTATGAGCTTCTGTTGTGGCTGCTTTCTTGTATGGCCTCAACTCATCTGAACCATATCCTGGCACATAAATGTTCCAATTCCTCTCTGTAATAATTAGCAAATATTTAAATGCAATATTAAACTACACTATGAACAAAACACAAGTTATAATTCATAATGATCAAGAAGATTATCATTATCAAGTAATAATTAGTTTGATCTAAATGATTCTACACATATACAATGACTGGGTTTTTAAAGTAACAATTTGTTGGTTATAAATGATTCTACATTGGTACAATAACTGGGGTGGTTTCATAGTCTTCATAACTAATGTTAAATCTACAACTGTAACAGACCTGCAAGCCCAACACATATTCTACTGGTTTGAAATGGTATGTCATTTGGAAATAGGGCATATATTATGAACTTTAAATGGTTGGCAGATAAATTCTTTTGCAAACAGAAATGTCATTCAACAATCAAAAGATTATTTGATGTTTAACAAAATAACTGATAATATATGATAAGGAATTTGGTATGAGACAAATATCAAACAAAGACCACGGTACAAAGTAATCTTCACATCCTCATCGGCTATAGTTGGTTGTCATATTGGTAATCATATCACATCTCCTTATTTTATACTGTCTAAACCAAACTTGTTAAGGACTAGATGATTTTTTTCCCAAGTTTTAACATGTTCAGTTAATACAGGTTCAAAAATATTGATCATGTTGGTGTAACAGGACTTTACAGCAACTCTGGACATACCCTTACTTTGAAGGGTGTAGAAAAAAGAGGAAATGATCTAAAGTCTTGAATCAATCTCTAAAAAACACCCTAAGAGTGCTGATCAAAGAGTCAATTAATGGAATAGAGACAAAAAGCAAGCTATCTTTATTAAAAATTCTAATGAAGATTGGCATAGTCAGGTTATTGTATAGTGATCACCAGAGATTGTTATAAACTCAACTGGTGAGTTGTACTGCTACAAATGGGGATCAAGAGATTGTTATAAACTCAACTAGTGAGTTGAACTGCTACAGATGGGGATCAAGAGTTTGTCATAAACTCAACTGGTGAGTTGTACTGCTACAGATAGGGATCAAGAGTCTGTTATAAACTCAACTGTGAGTTGTACTGCTACAGATGGGAATCAAGAGACTGCTACAGATGGGGATCAAGAGTTTGAGGTAAGGGAGGGCACACAGCATTGGAAAGGGGTTTGGATGTCGTTAAAGCCTAAACTAAATCTTAATTTGTTCTAAATTTTAAGAGCACATACTGGATGCACCTCCTTGAACCTGCCCCTGTGCTACCATATCTGTTTTGACAAGTTCATAAATCAAACAACAGAATGATCAAGAATTTGAATATATAAATGTTTCTAGAAGTAAATTCTTCTTTTTTACTAATATATTTATACATAAGTTGTGTATGAGTACTTTCTTATATTTGCTAAGACATCAAGTAATATAGTCTGTATATTGTAAAATAAAATACTTCGCTGAGCGCAGCCTGATACGACCGCAGAGGTCGAACCCTGAACAGTTGGGGCAAGTTTGGACACAATATTCAAGCTTGATACTGTCTGAATTTGAATTGTGATCAAATTTTTGACATAATATATTTTCTGACAAAATAAATGTGGTCAAAGATCTTAAAAATTTGAAATGGGACATTTAATTTACCTAGAATGGTCTGATATCCAAAATCAAACATTATGGTTAGATTCAGCATATAAAAAACACCAATAATTTAATTTTAGTTGAAATCAAACAAAGTTTAATTTTGGACCCTTCAAACCTTAATATGAACTAATTTGAAAACAGGGCCCAAAATAAAAATCTAAATGCACAATAAGATTCAGCAAATCATACAGCTGCAATATTTCATTTTTTGATGAAATCAAACAAAGTTTAATTTTGGACCCTTTTGACCTCAATGTAGACCAATTTAAAAATGCGGCCCAATATCCAAAAAAATTATACAAGGTTAGAACCCCCAAAAATTAAAGACTTAATTAATCCCATCGAAATTGGTTAAAACATTTGTATTTGTTTTCAATTGAAGATTTCTTGCTATTGCACAATACTGTGCAATTGAAGATTTCTTGCTATTGTGCAATACTGTGCTATTGCAATTGAAAATTTCTTGCTATTGTGCAATACTGTGTAATTGAAGATTTTTTGCTATTGCGCAATACTGTACAATTGAAGATTTCTTGCTATTGCGCAATACTGTGCAGTTGAAGATTTCTTGCTATTGCGCAATACTGTGCAATTGAAGATTTCTTGCTATTGCGCAATACTGTGATATTGCACAATATATACTGTGCTATTGCATAATACTGTGCTATTGTGCAATATTGTGCAGTTGAAGATTTCTTGCTTTTGCCTAATACTGTGCTATTGCGCAATACTGTGTAATTGAAGATTTTTTGCTATTGCGCAATACTGTAAAATTGAAGATTTCTTGCTATTGCGCAATACTGTGCAGTTGAAGATTTCTTGCTATTGCGCAATACTGTGCAGTTGAAGATTTCTTGCTATTGCGCAATACTGTGCAATTGAAGATTTCTTGCTTTTGCCTAATACTGTGCTATTGCGCAATACTGTGCAATTGAAGATTTCTTGCTATTGCCCAATATTGTGCAATTGAAGATTTCAAAAATGTTAAAGAAAAAAAATGAACCCCCCCCCCCCCCCAACCCCAAAATTGGAAAAAAATATCCCAACTTTTTGAGCCCCCTACCCTCCCTCCTTTTGGAGTAATTACTCCCAAACTCAATCCCAGCCTTCCCTTTATGGTATGGAACCTTGCAGTACAATTTTAGAGAGATCCATACATTTGAACACATGTTATTGTCTGGAAACTAGAAAAATGCTTGTTTTTGGCCCATTTTTTGCCCCTAATTCCTGAACGTTTTGGGCAATTAACCCCAAACTCAATCCCAGCCTTCCATTTGTGATATGGAACCTTGTGGTACAATTTCAGGGTATCCATACACTTACACACAAATTATTGTACGGAAACTACAAAAATGCTTGTTTTTGGCCCCTAATTCCTAAACTGTTGGTACCATGCATCACCCCCAAAATCATTCCCAACCTTCCTTTTGTGGTATTGAACCTTCTGGTAAAAATTCATAGAGATCCATTCACTTAAAACTTAAGTTATTGTCCAGAAACCAATTGTGTCTTCGGACGACGACGACGACATCATAGCATTATACGATGCAAAAATTGTTTTGCGGTCGTATAAAAATTATGTACACAACATTAACAAACCTAAATGCATCTGTACATCTTTAACCTCTAATGTATTAGATTTTCTGTGTTTGGCTATCTTACATGCTGCACTTACTACATTTTCTATAAAATCATCAGCTATATGCATTAACACCTGTAATATAATATCATATAAGTACACAGGTATTAAGACTTGAGCTCTTATTTCAGAAATTTCTGATTTTCTACCTATTATTAACAATATTATGTTTTTTTCAGGCAAAGTTCTGTCTTTAAAGTTAGTTATTCTGCATCCATTTTCATTGCTTAATTAAAATCTTACCTTATTCCTTCCTTAATGATACCTTGTTATTGTCTGTTTCTTAAAAGCCTTGTATGGCAAAAAATGATAGAATTTGAACTAAGACTTAATTTGTTTCACATGTAATTCATTGATTACTGCTATCAGACAGTGCCAAGTAAGTTGACACTCAAGAGTATACTCTTCCATAGTGTACTCTTTTTGCATTTATTGAGGATATAAACTCTTTTTCTTACTTTTCAGCAATTGAATTATTTGTTAACTGTAAAAATGTGTTTATGACTTCACCATAGGTTTTTTTGTAAGGTTTGTGTTGCTCAATATTTAGTTTTCTGTGTGTTGTTTTTTTTGCTGTTGTTTGGCCATGATGAAGTCTGTTTTTTCCCTTTGTTTTTTTATTTATCTTCTTTATTTTTTAAACAACATATGGTGCATGATGTTCTCCACTAACCATCAGCTTTTACAAAGGTTTATTTGAGTCAATGAATGGCTTGTAGAAAGGAAGAACTATTATTTTGTAGTGCCTTTTCATCTCTATACATAGAATGATTGCAGAATGTAGATTTACAAATGTATTTGCAACAAAAGTTAACAATAAATAATCATGTCATCTGGTAATTTAAGTACACAGTTACTTTAAAATACAATCATCTTTGATTCCACAGCATATATTTCAATGAAATCATTACTATCCATGAAACTTTTTCTGTCATCCATGGGACTTGCACTGTTGTAACTGATTGAATGTTAAGGTTCATACAGCAAACATACTTTTGTAAATAAAGCAGATTGTTGATTTTTCTCGTTTGAAATGTTTTACGTTTTGTCATGTCTGAGCCTTTTATAACTTACTGTACCGCTTGGCTCATTGCTGAAGACCATACGGTGAGCTATAGTTGATTTCAACTACATTATTTGGTCTCTGGTTGATAGTTGTCTCATTGGTAACCATACTGCATCTCCTTATTTTTATACTGGGTTTTCCCCCTTTTTATACATTCTATCAAAAAATGTGATTAGACAGCCCATTGTAAAAATATAATAGCATGGCACACCCTGGGGAGTACACTACTATATTCTATAATACCATGGTACACCCTGGGGAGTACACTACTATATTCTATAATACCATGGTACACCCTGGGGAGTACACTACTATATTCTATAATACCATGGTACACCCTGGGGAGTACACTACTATATTCTATAATACCATGGTACACCCTGGGGAGTACACTGCTATATTCTATAATACCATGGTACACCCTGGGGAGTACACTACTATATTCTATAATACCATGGTACACCCTGGGGAGTACACTACTATATTCTATAATACCATGGTACACCCTGGGGAGTACACTTCTATATTCTATAATACCATGGTACACCCTGGGGAGTACACTACTATATTCTACAATACCATGGTACACCCTGGGGAGTACACTACTATATTCTATAATACCATGGTACACCCTGGGGAGTACACTACTATATTCTACAATACCATAGTACACCCTGGGAAGTACACTACTATAATTATTCTATAATACCATGGTATACCCTGGGGAGTACACTACTATATTCTACAATACCATGGTACACCCTGGGGAGTACACTGCTATATTCTATAATACCATGGTACACCATGAGGAGTACACTACTATATTCTACAATACCATGGTACACCCTGGGGAGTACACTGCTATATTCTATAATACCATGGTACACCCTGGGGAGTACACTACTATATTCTATAATACCATGGTACACCCTGGGGAGTACACTATTATATTCTACAATACCATGGTACACCCTGGGGAGTACACTACTATATTCTATAATACCATGGTACACCCTGGGGAGTACACTACTATATTCTACAATACCATGGTACACCCTGGGGAGTACACTACTATATTCTATAATACCATGGCACACCCTGGGGAGTACACTACTATATTCTATAATACCATGGTACACCCTGGGGAGTACACTACTATATTCTATAATACCATGGTACATACACCCTGGGGAGTACACTACTATATTCTATAATACCATGGTACACCCTGGGGAGTACACTACTATATTCTATAATACCATGGTACACCCTGGGGAGTACACTACTATATTCTATAATACCATGGTACACCATGAGGAGTACACTACTATATTCTACAATACCATGGTACACCCTGGGGAGTACACTGCTATATTCTATAATACCATGGTACACCCTGGGGAGTACACTACTATATTCTATAATACCATGGTACACCCTGGGGAGTACACTACTATATTCTACAATACCATGGTACACCCTGGGGAGTACACTACTATATTCTATAATACCATGGTACACCCTGGGGAGTACACTATTATATTCTACAATACCATGGTACACCCTGGGGAGTACACTACTATATTCTACAATACCATGGTACACCCTGGGGAGTACACTACTATATTCTACAATACCATGGTACACCCTGGGGAGTACACTACTATATTCTATAATACCATGGTACACCCTGGGGAGTACACTACTATCATGACTATATTCTACAATACCATTGTACACCCTGGGGAGTACACTACTATATTCTACCTCTTCTACATCATCATCGAGCTGTTCCATTGGATCCACCTCCTTAACAAGCTCCTGTAATCTTCTTTTATCTAATACTTTAGTGTCTTGTACACCCATACTTGTCTGAACTGAGGAAGCTATAGGCTGTCTTATTGCCAGACCTGGCTGACCTAAGGTCATTACTGGTGTAGGAGCTGAAGATGTCACACCGACTGGTATAGAACTACTACCAGTCACTAACTGTCCTTGCTGGTGAGTCTGATAATTGAAAATGATAACATATATAAAAAAAATCTAAATCATTCATTTTTCTGCTTTCTTTGAAAATTTTCAAAGAAAGTAATTAAAAGTAGAATGAACTTATCGTTGTGCATACCCCCACTTATAATTCAAAGTATAGGAAAACGAAATAGGTGTCTGATAGATCTGATAGGCGCACGCACCTTACAAATGATCACTCTCAAGCTGCTGGCAAAATATTAAATCATTCTGTTGAGCAATTTGTGAGAAAAGTGTGACCAAAAATTTGAAGTTCATTCAACATATTGGAAAATTGAAAGTATCGACAAACAGAAGTGCTAACACTTTATAACTCATCACTGTTGAGCAAATGACTAAATATTAATTCATTCTGTTCAGTAGTATCTGAGGACGGTATGACAAAAATATTTGTTAAACACACCAATGGACAGACCTACAAAAAGCACGGCAGACAAGGTGATTGCAATATAACCCCACATTAAGAGTGGGGGTATAAAATACATTTCACACTTCAACCCATGTCAAAGTAAGAATTTATAACTGTTAGCAAACTCAGCACATTTTACACTTCAATCCATGTCAAAGTAAGAATAACTGTTAGCAAACTGAGCACATTTTACAGACAAAAAATATTGTGTGTCTCAATGTGTCATAATCAAATTCCTTGATCTAGACTACAGTACCCAGTTATTTATCCTTTGGTTAAATATAACCCAGGGTTTAATTCTTTAAAAATGGTTACGTAACCAAGGGTTCAAATTCTGCTGCTCAACTTCTTCTTAACCCTTTGTTACGAAACAGTTGGTTAAGTTCACTGACTGTAAGATTTTTTCAAAATAAAAATTATCAGTACTTTCCTCTGGTCTTAGAGAGTGTTTTGGTCGATAAAAAATGATTACTTGTTACAAACAAATCGATTTTTGCATCTAATTTAATTAATTAGTGCAACTACAACACAGACTTGACAGAGAGCATCTTTTGTTTCAAAACTTTAGAAGTGTTGATCGTTGAAATTTACTTATAGATAAATACATTATCTTACTGAAACATGCTTAATTTTGCTGCATATATCATGTATATTTTTTAATTAACATAGAAGGTCAATATACTTTAAAAAAAATACTGAGCAAACTATGACTGGTTAATATTCTTACTGTGTTGTGATACTGAACATTTGAAGGCTGTCCTGGTAAATTAGTAGTTACTTGTACTGGATTCATCTCTGTATAAGTATGTATACCATACTACAGTCTGAAAAATAAATTACAAGAATGCACAGGCTGAAATGTTTAGCCTGCTTAACTGATCATGATCAATTTAATTTATGTTGAATGTCTTTAAGAAAAAGGTAACATTGTAACTTTTGATTACTTCTAATAAAATAATAATGCTACAAGTATTACATAAAATTAATATAATCAATGAACCATGTAAATGAGGTCAAGGTCTGATGAACCTTGTAAAATAGAATTGTATCCCTTACAATCATTCTGTACACCAAATATAGTCACCCTATTGCTTACAGTATCTGAGAAACAGACCTTAACAACAAAACTCACAAGGTTCTAGTTACAGCATTTTCCAGGACGCATGATTTTCTGTCTTGAAGCACCATTTTTGAAAATGTTATTGTGTGTCTGCAGGACCCACCCATACTAGTTACATAAGCTGAATCCTATCATCACCTATACTATCCTTTAGCTGTTTAAAAGAATCTGGAAACGTGCTTCTTGTCAATATATTTACCAGAAATTGAATTTGGTTTTCATGCATTGCTTTAGTAAAGGTAAATTTTGAGACACAAAAATAAATGATATGTAATTGATCATGTGATTGGCATGATTGGCTAACACTTAAGTGATAAAACCATGGAAATCAAAATTTGTCCACCTTTAAAGCAAATCATGAAATGTTATTGGCAATAAAGTTATCAAAAGCGGCTTACATGTATGAACATACTGAAGATGGTTATATGATTTTGGCTTTAAATAGTCTAAATGAAGACTGGCAAAAGCTGTTTAAAAGAGAAACATAGGCGTATTTACACTTGTATGCAAATTTGTCTGTCATAACTGAAAGTCACACAAGTTCCCGCAATTTTGCATCACAAAAAAAAACATTAAAAAGTGATTGATGCACGATGTCAGAAGGATATTCAGAGCTAGATCTAGGGTTATTTGGAGCAAATTCAGCTAATACCAAATAGTGATGGATTGATACTTATCAACTTATGGCAAATATAACATGCATATCAGGACAAAAAAACATGCTAATGACATGAATGAGAAATGATTCAGCACAAAATTGTTTTTGGAAATCACTTCTTTCAAGTCAATATCATTTATCTAATGAACATGTTAAAATGGATTGCATCTCCTGTTTAAACTTCAACACTCGTCAAAATCCATACTGGACATCTAATAAAGAGGACTTGTGTGCATGCGAGTAGAGCGATGTGTAAATGTAGATCTAGACAATGGATGGAAATTAAAAGCTTATTAGCCAACTGGGCATCTAACATGTTTTTAACTTCAATTTATATAAAATGTATTAGCACAAATTTCCGATTTTTCTATAAAATATTTACTTTCGCATCCAGAAACTGCAAAAGAATCAGTTTATTGATGGTGGCCATGCATGTAATGATAGAAGTAGAACATAAAAAAATGTTTAAGTGGCAGTCCCATCAAAAATGGGATCTGTAATTTTGTAGATATAGTGTTGGTGGGTATGTACAGTGTACAGAGTATTTTTTTGATAATTTTATCTATAACTGCTTTTACAAGTGCACCATTTTTTAACGTTTCCTATGATATACATATTGTGATGATTCAATGCTAGAATCTCTATACTGACAAAAGACAACAGTGGTTCATCTGATATAGGTGGCAAAATTATACAGGATAGGTAAAGGTAAACATGGTAAAGACTAGCTTGTCTGTATTTGTATGTTGAAGATACCAATTCTGGCTTTTATTCAACGGAAGAGAGAGATTCCTATTGACGGTGTTGGTGAGCTGCCTTGAAGCTCTCAACTGTATTAGCGCATAATACTATCTTCCAGTTGGTTCAATGTATTATGCTCTTCACAAAGAAAGAGTTCTTATATGGATCCGTATTATATGAAATAGTGTCTAGTGCCTTCGTTTTGTTCTTCATTGATTTTGACACTAAATTGGCACTTTCAAAGTTATCAAATTTTTCGATTTAAGTTTTCCTTTTAGGTTTACTTTTAACCACAAAATCATACTAATACTAGCGCGTCTCTAACGCCAGTAACGGTCTGGCATAAAATCTGATTCCCAGATAATGATTGACCGTAGTAGCCGGATATTACTTTCAGCATATAACATTTATAATTTTAATACCTATATTTTATGTGAAAATGTGGGAATTTTCAAATTTCATACTACATTTTGAAAATGAAATCATGATGGCATAAACCGGAAGTAAGGCGTAGAATCTAAAGTAAAAACAAATCCGGATAAAAACTTTTTCCGAACATTGAAATCGGAGATAAGAACAGTTTCCCGCGAACGAACAAGGTAGCGATTCCAGGCTAACGAACATCATATGTCATAATGTGTATAGTTCGAATTATAAAATTCTACTGCAGACACTGTTATACTTTCACAAATGACTGACCGATACCCTCTTACCCTCTCCTGAATTTTTTCGAACGATATGAGAGACTAATTTGAAAGACTACACGCAATAATCGAGACGAAATACTATGATCGAATCTAGGAATAGTATACTAGAGCACAGGCACTTGTTTCTATCCATGGAAAGAACCACTATCAACGTAAATATACGTTGATAGTGGTTCTTCCCATGGATAGAAACAAGTGCCTGTGTACCACTGAGAGAACGAAAGATACCACAGGGACATTCGGACTCATAAGTAGAAAATAAACTGACAACGCCATTGCTAAAAAAGGAAAAGACAAAACTGAGACAAACAACACTACACAAAACACAACATAGAAAACTAAAGACTGAGCAAATGAACCCCGCCAAAAACTTGGGGTGATCATCTCAGGTGCTCCGGAAGGGTAAGCGGATCCTGGTCCACATGTCACGGGCATCCGTCGTGTTGCTCTTGTTAGTACAAACCCGGTGATAAGTCTAATTCGGTAGATTACATTCGGGGAAAAGGGGACGGGATTGTAGTTACGACAATTGGAACATAACCGTTGTCATCTGTGAAACAGATAATCCATAACTGTCAACCAACTCGTGATGGCGTCCGTAAAATTTACGAAGGGCCGTATGATGATTTCACCACTTGGAACTCTTGGTTTAAAGGGGCATTAGCTGTCAAATTCATGTTCACCGATTTGACTCAAATTCTGATATTTGTCTAAAATAAACAGTTTACAATGCATGGGCTCGATAATATGCTTCAGCATTTCGATCGTGTGTATTTTAGTCTAGACACCATCTAATTAACCATCGAAGTGACCTCCGAAGACTGTCGACGGTCATATAACCCGATGTAAACATAAATATAGATATAAATAGACCGAACTCGTGCAATTGGATTTTTCTAGGTCCGTTTGATTTCTTAATATAGGTTATAAATATATGTTAATCATCGTGTTTCGTGTTTACCTGTATAAGAATGAGTTTTTGTGTATCGAATCAGTCAATCAAATGGTTTACCCTTGTTTCGCTTTTTTGACATTATTTTCCTTTTGATAACTGTACACGCCTAATTCATGCGTAACCCAATTCTAGCCAATGGGTTAAATTGAAGGTCACATGAATACAGATTCAATGAGGTCGAACTTGCAAGTGAATAATTCATTAGCGATGTTAATTTGCATATTTTGACAAAATTGAACCCAACTGGCTGCTAAAAGCGAATTATTATTTCACTATTTCACTTTCATTAAAGATTGAACAACAAAAATCATATTTTATTTTATTTTACATCTGGTAGCTAATGCCTTCCTTGTGAGCAACAACTCTCTAACTGGGAACATATTATGTCCGAGGTCCGAATATTGTATAATTTTGATATTCAAAATTTCCTGGCCTGATAATGAGTACTATGATTGTGCAAGAGAGCTCTTATAGTTCTGCATGTATTCCTTTGTGCAGATATTTTATACATATGTAGCAAATATTAACAGCTATAACTTGAAGTCCAGTGAAACAGGCTTTTAAAAGAATTTTCTCAAGAAATAAGACAAATAACGCTCGAAGAGTTACTTTTTATATTGTTCTCTACTCACCAGTAATCCGACTGGTTACTTACATTATCTGGATTGTGACTATCGTACGTACCGGCGCTACGAAGAAAATGACAAACTCTCAAATGCAAAATTAGTTTCCAAGAAAGTGTTGTCCTTAAGTAAGATTTATTTGGTGTAAATCACAACAAAGTACCAGTATACTCCCATTGGATCTTATTCAGTCCGTCCATTAACAAATTTTCGATCTTTGTATGCTAGGTGAAATTTGACAGTACACGGCTGAATATCCCAAGATCAAAAAGCTACAATCAGTTATTGTCAACAAATCGTCTGGATCGGATTATTCTAAATAGTACTAAATTGATGTACTATTCTTTTTACAACATTTTTCTTGACGCCAAGGTATCGTTCTCTCTTTTGTATAGAAAATTACAAAGGCTAATTTGTACTCCCGTTTTATTATGTACACTTACGACTCTGCGGTCGGTGGTACAAACCATAATTACAAAACTTAATAGATTTATGAGTGATTCATTGTTGTTTGCTTACACGTCCATTGGCAAATATTTTAAATGCATGGTCACGACGAGATAGTGGATTTATAAACACTAGCGCTACATCAATCTTCAAAGACCAAATTGTCCATGACAAATAAATTTTCCACATGCAGACAAAGCCATAAACAATATCGTTTTTATGTAAATCAAATACTAAACTATTTGATAAGGGAACCCGGCATTAACTTGGAAACCCAACATATACTCCGACACTACTGAAGCTAAGGGTAACGATTGAATAAAACATATTTCTGTTTATCGTTTCTCTGGTATTTCAACCATAGTCGAGGAAGGTATCTTTCGAAAGTCTACAAGAAACCAAAATGATATAATTGTCCTTCACTTTACTTGGTATCCAAATACCAAAGATATACCTTACAAACAACCTTTTATTTCCGGATCAGCCATAGGCTCCACGAAACGTTTGTTTTAATGATTACCTGCTATATTATCAGCAAACACAACCGACATCCAGAGCTACTGAGAAACTGTCTACTTCAGTGGTGGTGATACTGAAGTCCCTAAATTCATCTCCTCGGGAATAGTAAAAAACAATGACTTAGCCCCTCCAACTCTTTGGCAAAACAAAAAATATATATTGAAAAAAAAAGAAGAAAATTAAGGAGGACAATTCTAAACATTTGACTTTTCTACTTTTTAAACAAGATCCCTTATTCTTAACTCATAATTTAATTTCTTTTTTACTAATTATAGCTCCTGGTATTTGAAGCGGTAGGTATATTGTGATGGGGAGTCTTTAAGTCTGTTCGATCCGTCATTCGTTCGTCCGTCTGTCTGTCCCACTTTTGTATCCACATCTTCTCCTGAACAGATTGACAGAACTTTGTAAAACTTTCAGAGAATCTTACTTAAGTGATGTAATTTTGCACCTCTTATTTCATTATTTCAATCGAATGATTTTGAGGAATTTTCTTTAGCATAATATTGCCATTGTCATATCCGTACACTAAAGTACACATTTGTATTAAGGCTTCTCCTTAATCCCTGATCAAATTTTCATGAAACTTTCTCAGAATCTTCATCATATATAATGCCTTTGTGCACCTTTTATCTTGTTTATATCCGAACTTATTTTTTTGTAGTTCCCTTCGCAAACAATGTCATGGACTTTTCTTATTTCTGTTTATGGCAACGGGGTATCATTTTACAAGCTTTGCTCACAGTACATCTATTTATAAAACAGATAACTTCATGTACCTTAAATACAAACGCCTGAAAACAGTCCAAAACCACAACTTTTGACAGACTTTTGCAATTTTGGAATATTTTTCAAAAATATGTTTAAGAGGACATACAAAACCAAAATCAAAATTCTGTTCGTAACAAAGCAATGTTATGTATATTATATATTTTGGTTAGAGAAGTTCTTCGGTACAAACATTAACAAAAACATGAAATATTTGCAATTTTGTATCAATCCCCTCAACAGTAATAAACAGCGCTGAGCATCGTTTTTATTCTATGTACCATTTGTTGAACAATGTTCTAAGTACAATATTGTACAATGATACATTAGATTCTTTAATATTCCAATTCCTAGGATTGGACAACTTTTATATTTTGACCATGTGAGTGAAACAAATGTGTCCTTATGTTGTGCTGTTACACCAGTGTCCCAGGTTAGGTGGGTTAGCGCTCGCCAACATGTTTAATCCCGCCAAATACTCATATACCTGTCCCAAATCAGGAGCCTGTGATTCAGTCGCTGTTGTTGGTCGCTGTATATCATATCTGTTTTTCGTATATCGTTTGTACACAAATCAGGCTGTTGCTTTTCATTTGCTTTTTTTTTTACATTTTGCCATTCCGGGGCCTTTATATCTTACTGTAAGGTATAGGTTTGGCTCATTGTTGAAGACCGTATGAAAACCTATAGTTGCTAACATCTACGTCATTTGGTCTCTGGTGGAAAATTCTCATTGGCAATCATACCACATCTTCTTATATTTTTATACATGCATATAAAGTGGAATTGACCATATCTATTTAGGCGTTAGTAGCTTATCATGGAAGTTGAGTTAGTTAAATTAGTATATATATAGATAGATAAGTTATACGGATCGACTGCAGAAATAAATCATTAAAACACAAATTGTTAACATTTGTTGATTCATTATAAGGAAAGAGTAACAATGTTTTCATTTGTTCTTCATTGTCACTATGACAAAGCAGCTAGTCAGTTTCTATTCCGTATCAACCTGACCTCGGTTTCAAAAGTTTCAGTTTTATTATGTATACCCAAATTCACGAACTATTATAACGTCTTATCTTCCAGTTAACGTAACCTTGAAACTTGATTATTCACAAAATTTATGAAAAGTTTTAGAAAGATATCAAAAAATATTTACGTGATTTAATGTTACATTAGGAGATCAAATGTTTAAACCGATGCCAATTGTCATAAATTAAATTATCGTCGACATAAGTCGATCGCAAAACCTTTTTACATTCCAAAATCCATAAAACGTGCACGTAGAAAATTATTTCTAAAACTAATATTTGAACAATTAAATATTACTTGTACAATTGAAACTAAAATAAATGTAATTAATCTATGGGATCTTTTACTTTTTGATTCTTTTGTTGAGTACCCTTTAAAGTATTTTTTATGCTTTATTTACTTTTTTCTTACCCATTGAAATTGTAAATCTTATAGGTTAGAAAAATAAATAGAAA